TGCAGTGCCAGAGATTGTCACGCCTATATAATTATTTTTCGTCAGTAAAGGGAGTTTATACTTGGTTTATTTAGCAACAAGCCCTTCACAGTGACCACGCGGTCTAAAGCATGAACAGTCTGCTCTCACTTGAACGCTGAGATCGTGGTTTCGAATCCCACTCAAATCATGGATGTATGTATTCGTTTATACTGTGTTTGTGTTGTTCTGTATGTAGATAGCGGTCTTGCTACCGGCTGGTCTCCCGTCCAAGGAATCCTACCGACCGAAGGAACTAAAAAGGCGGCCAGGTCCAACAAAGGGCTGTAGAGGTATAATAATGCGACATATTTGCCGTTTCTATAACAACAGAGGAATGTCCGTAAACATTTTCACGGCCACGAATACAGGCAACAAGAGAAGAACTGCCGTTTCTATGCGACGACCGGTGAACACCCCCCCCCCTTTAAGAACGTGACAACAATATAGGGGAAACTGTGTTTTCAATACGGTCTACGCCAAGCAAACGCACTCAACAATAGGATGTCTACTGCTTTGCAACGAAGCTGAAAACACGTATCCTTAACAAGAGAAGGGGGTATTTTCCATGGGATCCGTGCAAAGGAGTTATCCTGAAGTCAATCGGCACTACGAGTCAGTCAGTTCTCTGTAGGAGATCGCCACGGGAATTTCGCAGCAGAAGAAGAATTAGAAGTCGTCCTGTGAGGACTTAACATGTGAACTGAAGACTTCATGTGTGCTGTAGTAGAGGAATATCCGGAGTGTGACAATTATAGTTCCGGTGTTAAAATCCGTTGCCAGAGAAAACTTCGGAAAGTTGAATAACAATTATTTAGATCTGTTACCTGGCATCGACTAGTGTAAGCAGATATAGAAGATTTTATTTATGTGTTATCATTACAGTAATCTTGGAAATGTTATAATTATTTTTAGTTACGACCAATAAATCGACTCACCGATCCAAAGCCGCATCTTTAATCACTAATACACATGACAATAATAATATTAACAGCGTCTTCGTAGGAGTAGGGTAAAATTCCGCAGGACATTCTCCTCGAGGCCTGAGTAATTGATTTTGTTCGCACTGATCTTCCTGGTTAGAGCTGCAGAATGATTTCTTTTATAGAATCTCAAAGCAAGAGAAAACAGGACGATGTCAATATTAATTAATTAGAATGACGTCATTATACTTTGCCCGTTCTGCCATCTTGAGAATTCATTAGCAATGCAATTTAAGTCGTTTCTTCACATCGCAATCCCAACGAGGTCGCCATAGACTTCTGCGTTGAGCACTCTTCATTTCCTGTTTCAAGTGTCACGTGGTGCTGAAGTCGATGTTATCTTTGTACAAAGATGACGTCAGGATATCTGATTGAGGACGTGATTATATTCTGTAAAGTGAACAGTACTTAAAATACAAGCAGTGCTCGACAGAATGATCTTGTTGGTTGCACTGGAATATAACACAAGAATAATTTGTAAATACTAAGTGAGGGGCTGCTTCCCAGTCTTGGGATTTCTCCACGTCAGTAAAAATAGGACTTGACATACTTATAAGTACGGTGCGGCTCTCAATATTCAGGATTTACTTGACATTTATTCAGAAATTACTCAATTACCTAAATTGATTATTTTGTTCTAAAAAGATTAATAATACGCCACGATTATAAACATTATATTTTGTATCACCTTTGTGTGGGGGCATGCGGTAGCGTAGTTGGTGAGGCTGACAGCCTTCCCGCCATCTGTGAACTGACTGACTAGAAAATGTGGTGGCCTCGACGTTTCAGAACCCCATGAGCCTTCAAGGCCAAGGCTATTTCCCTGTCTTCTTTGTGTTGGTTGTATCTGGCAAAGTTTCACGTTTTGATTGTAATGAATGAGCATTTACTTCGAATAAGTTTTTCATAACTTAAAATTTTTCCGTCCTATAGTAGACGGGAATCCTTTGGCCACACAGATATTTGTTAACGTTACAAGCAGGGTCCAGTTCTGTGTCATTTGTACGCGCCCAAACAAAAGAAGCTGGCGTACTCATATTTCTAATACATTATTTCTATAATTATTTACTTCAATAGCTGTTCTTACATTGATGTTTGAACGTAAGAAAACAGGAATTGAACTGAATTATTGTGGATCTACAGCCCTTTGTTGGGCCTTGTAGCTTTTCGGTGCCTTGATCCTGTATACAGTCAGTAGGACTCCTTGGACGGGGATCAGCCAGTCGCAAGGCCTGTACCTACACACAGAACGACACAAACACAGAATAAACATACACACCTAACCATGCCTCGAGTGGGATTCGAACCCACGATCCCATTGTTTGACCGGGAGAAGACGGTTCATGCTTCGGACCGCGCGGTCACTGTGATCAGTGGATCTTTTTCTTAGCCAGTTCAATCCAGTTCGTGCTTATTTCTTTATAATCCAGTAATTCAATTACTATGTACGTTTAGGTTTTAATGTGAGAAGAAAACAGAAAAATACGAATATTGCGTCGTGCCTCTTCTTTTCCAGTTTTTACTCGTAATTCTTTTGCTTCGTACGTCCTTCAAGAGATTTTCTTCCCGCGTTATTTGTGGACTATTCACTAGACACTTCAGTTTATGGGCACTACGAACTTGAACTTCTCGTTACCTTCCAGACTTTGTTTCCATAGCCGCCATCAACCTGAAGTTTCTGTAAACCGAAGCAAACTTCCTAGCGCACATTAGCTGTGAGGATGGATACCAAAAGAGTGAGATCGTGAGAAATCCCCTCCAATCTGACGCATAGCCCACTTCTCAATTTTAATCCATCAAGTAATGCAAATGAAGGAGCCATTCTCATGGCGTATATATACGTACAATATTTTGACTGATATTAATAAGAACGCGCACTCGTCCAAATTTAATGCAAACAGAACAACTTCTAATAAAGTGGAACATTTTGACGATGACGAAATCTAAATGAAGTAGTACGTTTCGGAGCGTAACGACATTAGCTCTTTCCATCAGACGACTTGAGTCCCCTCCGAGCAGAGTCGTTGCAATAATCAATTAGGCTACAGCAGCTGTCTGCCATATTGCTTCAATACGCTGGGCAGGTGTAACATTGTGGACTGCACACAAGGTGGGGGGCATGTGTAGTTGATTGAGGCACTCTGCTACAAGCCAGAAGGTCGCCGATTCGAGGCCCTGGGGTCGACTCAGCCTCTAACAGAAATGAGTACCAGAAATCTTCCTGGGGGTTTGAGGATGGCCGGTGCATAAGGCTGACCACCTCACCGCCATCTGTGAGCTGATTGTCTAGAAAATGTGAAGCCTCGACGTCTCACAACCCTATGGGCCTCCACGGCCTATTACCGGCCTAGTTTTATTTACACACGACGGCAATACAACGTTCCTCGTACAGCTGAATAAGAAACCCATTCTTCGCTCTACAGTGCTTACACTCGTAGAAAGAACGACGAAAACATCCGATAATTTTAGTTCAACTCCAAGGTCCCGAGAGAGCGTAGTCGGTACAGCGACTGGCTACGAGCGGGCAGACAGAGGAGTTGGAGTTCGAGTCAAGGTATGATCAAGAAATTTCTCTTCTCAACGTCCTCCAGACTGTTTATGGGGCCCAACTAACTTCTTATGCAGTGGGTACCGGCGGCCGCGCGTGAAGCTGATCACTCACCTCCATCTAATGCAGAGGAAAAGGAAACTTGGATCTATACGTCCACTCCCTCATAATCTTTCATGATACAGTGCTTAATTAGTTAAGCACAGAGAGCTGGCAGCGCTGTAAGGTTGGCGCATATGAACAACATGAATCTTGTATGCTTTAAGGTTCTGGCAGTGGTAATTATGAAGACTTCTATCTTCTGGGATAAAATGCCGTGTACGTGCTTTGGAAGCCAATTAACGGCCGACCTTCATCACCCTACGCAGCCTTAGATCCCAGAAGATGGATTTTATGAATATCGTCACGCGATAGAGTGACTATAGACGGGGGTTGCACTGCTTGGTAACGGCTTCCAATGGAGAACCTTCCGCTTCCTCTGTGTTTCCGACCTGTCCCCGGTACCAGTACCAACTCCTGGAACTCTCAGATGACTGTCTGCCTGCAGAGACACTCTCGGCGCATTCGGCCGACTGGTGGCCAGAGTCAGAGTTACTTTAAGACTGACGGTTTACCGCCAATATATTCATCTTGGCGCCAAGTACCTTGAGGATCACGATCAAAGGTTTATTTTTTGGCAACTGAACCCTTGCGGGAGCCATAGTCCCTATATGATATCCTCTCTGAAGAGAGGATGAGTTTGTCTCTTATGAATATGTTTGGCCCTTCATCATGTATACGTATCGCACATATAGCATATTATTGAAATGTCTTGCTTTTGCACTACATACAAGTGCTCTGTCAGCACAGCAAAGCAGATCATGCCGTTCTTAATTATCTTACGCTACAGCGGAAGATTAGTCACTTGACCCGCCGTAAGTTTGACCACTGCCAAGTTTAAGCCTCTTATATTTTCTGTGTCTGGCTTCACTTTCTCCTAAGCTGCGAACATGTTCATTCTCAAGATTTTGTATGACTTCTGCTTCTCGCCTGCACAATTTTGTTACATAATTGTATACATAATGAATGTTTAAAGCCGTGTGCATCTTGTAAAATTTCCAGCATGGTTGAGGCACGTCGCTCGCGTAGAAGATATGCGTACAAAATTTTAGACAGAAGAACGTGAAGAAAAGAAACACCCTGAAAATTCCATCATATATGGGAAAATAATATTAAATTAGATGTAAAAGAAATAATGTGAGGTATGGCATAAATTTATCAGTCTCTAGATATGGTCTGATGAGTAGTTCTGGTGAATACGTCAATGGATCCTTACTTTAATAATAACTTGAAATTTTATTTTACGAGCTGAGCGACTATTAACATCTCAAAAATAATTCTACATCATTGATTTTATTAATATATAGCCTGTAACAGATATAATTTATATCAGTGGAAATCATACTACTCACCTTTAAGCCACACAACAATTCCTCAACCTTGACAGTTACAGGATGGGGCTGTCCCTTGTACGTTTAGATGCCTTACGTATTAAAAGCACTCAGGAGTTCAAGAGATGCTTAATATTGAAATCTGTGGAACCAGGCAGCTCTTGTCTGCTGTAGGAGTGACGGAGGGACACAAAAACCTGCAAAATATTTGAAGCAGTCTCACCGCGCGACCCCTCGCGTAGTGGCAGCACATGAATATACATGAGTTAACGTCCCTACATGGGCAGGGCGAAGGGATGAGGGGATATGACACCAATTATGAAGCATTTGGTGAATTGATAAGAGAAGGACACACATACAGCAAACCGAGGAAAGGGAGATTTCAATTCGCATGTATGGAGGGGACTGAAAATTTCCACAGCCAGTTGGTAGACACAGTTTTATTCTAACGCAGGAGGGGCTTATACCAGCATATTTAAATGGATTTCCATAAGTAAAAAAAGTAGCTCAGTATTGCGCATGGAAATTTCAATTTGATTTAACTACCTTCAGATTCTCTACAGGTTGTCTAGGTAACACTCAAATTGGACTATCAATGTAGTACTATATAGCTGTGTCACCTTAACACTTTCAAGCATATAGTTCTTCTGAATAATACTCGTATATAAATACTGAGTTCCTACCTCACAGGAAACACACTTCGTCCTCATGCAGAAAACCAGCCGGTTACTTCTGCTTAAGGAAACAAATGTTGTCTGACAGTGACACCGTACATTCCGGGGGAAGTTCGGTGACGTTTCGGAGAAGGTAATGCCTCAGCATTCAGGGTCGAATAATAAACGAAGTAATCAACAAAAAGACCTCCGTTTTCTCTGAGGATCATAGGAAACACAGGGCCATGTGGTAGCGTAGCTGACTGAGGCACTATGCTACAAGCCGGAAGGTCACGGGTTCCATTCCCGATGTCATTGGATTACTTCCAATTGTTCTAATAATTCCACTTGCAACTATAGACCCTAGGGTCCACTCAACCTCTAATAGTAATGAGTACCACGAATCTTCCTGGGGACAGGCAGGCGCGCAAGGCTGACAACCTCACCACCGTCTGTGAGCCGATAGTCTAGAAAGTGTGGGAACCTCGACGTCTCACAAACCTATCTGCTACCACGGCCTGTTACTTTTATCTTTATAGGAAACACATACTAAATAGAGATGAGTGTTCTGTGAGTAAAATTCTCATTTTTCTGAGGTTAAGTCAAGCGGCGCATGTAATAACTGCTCTGCTTTGTACGTCTGAAGAGCTCTTCTCTTCAAATGAGTTGTAATCACCATTTAGTAAAGGGGCTAACCCGTACGTTTGGATTTCAGATGTACTTCTGATAATTGACTCGGAAGGTTTATATTAAAATTAAGTGAAACCCACTTCATTTTTATGTTCGTTTTTATTAATTATTGTTTGTGTTCCAGAAACATATAAAAGTTCTGTAAGAACCACACTTTTGACAAAGAGGTATAGATTTCCCGTTCCAAAATGATTTCTTAATAAAAAATTCGCTAAAGATAATTATTCCCCATCAATTCAGAATCAGTGGGCCTAATCAGAGAAAATTCTAAGCAGTGCGGTCAGTAAACAGGTCACGAATGGATATACATAAAACATATAAATCATGTCATATTCGAACCTGGAGAAAACATTTACGAAATATCCTACACCAACACTGACACACTTGTCCCATCGCTTTACCAGGAGTCTTTTGACTCCTGTCTCAGCCACTTCCGCACCTCCGGTTCAACCTCTTCGTCATCAGCGAAACTTTTGCCACCCAGCTGTGAAACGCTTTTCGCGACAAACACTTCCCATTGGAAACAAGAAATATTTATTTATGAATATTTTTGTCCACAAAAGAAAAAAGCACAACAGAACGCTGATCTTCAGTAGTATACCCTCAAAAAAGAGGCGTCATTTTGACTACTGAAACCAGTCTCTGAACATTCACATGCGCGTCCGCTACCTAGGTCGTCATTAAGCTGGACTGTGCTGCTACCTAGTGATACACATAGGAAACCTATTACGTCAATTACAACTGTTTTACTTCCATTTGTGGCCTATCCACTGACTCTCCCTCGTGTATGGGAAAATTAATATGTACAAGGTAATGTGGGACCCTTAAAGTCTCAACCCTATGGGCCTTCACGGTCTGTTACAGGGATAGCTTTACTTCCACTTTCAATACATAAATAATAATTCACTTCAATTCTTTATTTATTTATATACTCAATCAGCAGCCCAAAGGCCAATTGTAAAGTAAGGCGAGCAAATTTGAAAAAAAGACAAAGCAAGAGACAAATCAAGACAACTTGTATCACATAATAATAACAAAATGAATGTAATCGCGTGAGTCATTTTGCGGCGAGATAATTATATGCGTACATTCACACAGAGTGCAAGGAATCGCTATGAATTGTGATTTGATTATGGGAAACGGGTTTGGTTCCAAATATCTCAGCGTTCAAGCAAACAACGTTAGCAGCAGAGGTGCAATTTGAACTTGACGAGCAGACGTCGATAAAGGGAAGCCTCTCATATGCCGAGCAGGAACTGGAAGACCAACAGTTTCCAAAACAGGACAGAATTTAGAACAAAAGCAAAACTCGAAAAGACAGTGCTTCGATAGTATAGCTGTTCTTATGTCAGGTGTGCAAGTGTGTGTGTGTGTGTGTGTGTGTGTGTAATTGCGATGGACTTGGAGAAAGAAGCGGTTAAGTCTACTACTACTATGCTACTATTGGTATTACTACTACAGCTGCTGCTGCTACTACTACAACGGCTGCTACTACTGCTATTACTACTCCTACTGTTACTACTACTATTGCTACTACTTTTTTTCCTTGGCACTACAGCCCCAGTGGGCCTAGGCCTACCTCCATGAACTTCTCCGTTCACTTCGGTTTTTCTATATCTTAGACATACGGTAGGACTCCTTGGGTGGGTGATCAACTCGTCTCAAGGCCTCTACCTGTACACAAACACAGAAAAATGCACACAAACATCCATGCCCCGAGTGGGATTCGAACCCACGACCCCGGCTTCCGAGCGAGCGAAGACAGTGCACGCCACAGCTACTACTACTACTACTACTACTAATAATAATGTCACAAGTCTAGTGTGATTACAGACAGGGTTCTGATTGATAGTTGAATTTATTAAATATTTACGGTTCGTAACTACAAGTAATGACTATGTTCTCACTGTTCTACACACTCCACAAATCTCTATAGGACACACTAGGTCTTCTCAGTCTGTTATATTCTTCACTAGTCGTTGCTTGGTAGCGGTTTTCAACGACGGATATTCCCCTTCCTCTCTGTTCCCGAACGGTCTCCGGCCTCAGCTACTAGCCCCTAACATCAACAGCTCACAGCAACTGAACCCCAGCGGTTATCTAACTAACTCACTAACTCACCAGCCAACTGACAAAGTCATAGTTACTTTTCGACGGGCGCTTTGCCGCCAATAAGTTCGTTTTTGCGACAAGCCCCTTGAGGTTCACGATGACAGATATTTTTTCAACTGAACTCTTGCGGTAATATTCCTTAATTAATATCATCTCTGACGAGAAGATACGTTTGTCTCTTATGAATATTGTCACATCCTGTTAACGCGATGACTAATTAATGGGTTCCGGATTAGATGAAGCGATTTATTGGATATTCACCAGGCGGAACTACAATTAGATGTAACACAGTCTTGCTGTAACAATAACACTTCGTAACTATGAACAATGATAACACTCTAAATCTTACTGTAACTACGCCACATAAAATAAAGACTTCATTTCTGACTTCTTCTGACTTCTGTTTGTTCTCTTCTGTGTGCTGTCATATTGTGTCTTCTGTTGGTCAGTTCTCTCCCTGAGGTAGGTTCCGGTCGAACCGTATGGAGATCACCTCCTTCAACAATAGAGTTACCGCCTTCTTCGCTGTTACTGTGCTTCGGAGGTTCGTTGCCGTGAGAAAGGAAACGTTGCGTTGCCTAGGAATCAACGTGACTCTGTATGCAATGCATTGTTTCTTAAGACATATTCGTTGCTGTGGAAACATGATTGCCAAGCCTGGTTCTGCCTTACCTATTGCGTCATGCCACAACATTCTTCTGGCCATGCTGTTTTGCCACAACGATTGTGACACAAAAATTTCGTATTATACCTTACCGCTGCCAACAGATTATTGTGCCCCCAGCCTTACGTCCAATTTATTATTACGAAAGCGGGGGGTAGGCACCCAAATTTCTTATTCTTATTCCAACGCTGCCACCATCAAAATTTAGAAAATCCAACCTAACTGTCACCAGTTCAACATCTGTGGATAGCTTCTACTCCGCCCAAATAATTAATTATTACTAATAACCCAAATAAACACTAAGCATGTCAAAATAAGAATAAATATAATTAAATCAACAATTACATACGTACAGCCTATTAACACACACAATCTGTGATTACACGCCTTGCAATAACCTCTTAAACCTTACTATCCCGAGTCTACTGAACCTGCATGGCGTAAACCAAATTTCTGTACTCTGCAGTCAGTAAACCAAAATTATCATGTAGTAATAGCGAAATAAATTCACACTGTAACCTTCATTCGTTAACCAAAATTTATATCTTAACAATAAACCAAATCCCGTACCCCAATAGTGATTCATTTAACCAACTTTCAAATTTTAACTAACAATTAACACACCAAATGTTACACCCAAACTTAATTATTAAACCCGATACTTGTATCTAAACCATCACTCAATAAATCAAAATTACTCTGTTACACTCCAAGGTTTATACGCTAAAATAAATTAACCAATTTTATCCTAAGAACACATTAACCAACCAGAATCATATATTGACAACCATCAGTGATCCGAACACAGGCAAGTACTCACACTCACAAAAGAGGAAGACATCTGACTCCATCGCGTCTCCTTCCTACCACGCGACTGTTCCGAGCAACCCTTAAAATCAGAGTGCTCGCGGCTCCTCCCGTCCTAGCCCCTCAAAATTCAACATCACGGAAAGCTGCTCGCGCAAAACCCCTAAGTCAGCAAACTGTGCGGTGGCGAGACTTGCTCGTGTCATCACTTAATTTGTCAGCAATTTCTATAGACTGTACAACTGACACCGGATGGCTAAAGAATGTACGGCGTCTCAACTCTGGCTTCCGGCGGGTTTCCAACTTGTGGTTCACCCGACGTATTTAGATTTATAAAACTTATAATTATTTTCTAATTAATAAAACATAAATTTGACCCCTTGTTAGGATAAAGAATACTCATTAATAACCTGGGGCACAACACTGCTTATAAGAACTGGGATCGGCCTCTTGGGAAACATCGCTTCCATTGTTGCTGTAATCAGCAATAATGGAAACTTGCTTCTTTGCGGAGCAATGACGTAGAACGGTTTTGGTATATTTGCTTATTTCGCGGTCGTTGCCTAGCAAAGGGTATACCTCCCATATTAGGAAGAAGAAATGAAATCCAACACAAACTTACACATATGTGTAGGCTTATGTATTAATTTATTATAATTAACTGTAGTTAATTTGACAAAAAGTGTCAATTGAAACAGAAAATAAAGGACAAAACAAAAAGTGGAGAAAGAAAGTGAAGAGAGTTCATGGAGTGGAAGAAATTCATTCAGTAGAAAGGCAGAAGTTAATTTCTGAGGGTCTGATACACTATTTGTGAATTATCACTCAATTATGTTATTCTTCTAGCGAAAGTTCATTAGGCAGACAAAACATACATCAACATCATCAATTTGTTAATCCAAAATTTCGTTCATTTAACATTCGTGAACGCTGACAATATATGAGATCCTGAGGGAGAAATACAAAACCTTGTGCATCAGTTTCAATATCAGACGTATGCATTGTGGCGTACTGACTCGTTGCTAGGCAACGACGATGAAACAAACAACGAAACAACCTTTGTTAGGCAGCAACCAGCACCAATAGACTAGCTTGAAAGAGATATTTTCTGCGGGGTCTGCGCCTATGGCTGTGCAAACAGCAATGGATACAACAATGGGAACAGTGTTTTCTATGAGGTAGGACCGTAGTCTGTGGTTAGCAATCAGTTGTCAGCCAGGCAGGACAAGAGCCCTTGATCATAGAGTTACCAAAAGTATTTACATTGTTAGAAGCCGCTACCAAGCAATGAGTATATAAGACAGCAGAGTGGGAAGACTTGGAATGGGTTTTAGTTGTTTCTAGAGTGCGTAGAACCGTGGAACTGCTGTAACTATATGTAGTAACGAGTAATAAGCATTCATTTATCTCAGTAATTAATCCAAACCCTGTATCCAATCACTAAAAACTTGACAACATATTTGGTCTAAGTCTATAATCTAGTAGAACATACTAAGCGATTTATCACTAAATTAATAATTTAATACTTACACCACAAACTTTCTCTTGATTTGGGAGGCAGAAGTTAACATCTGAGAGAAAGCAAATCTGAATTTTTCGTTGTTACGTAATATTTTACAGTTTAAATGTCAGCATATTCGCTATACTAATAATACGAATTTGAAAATAAGTCTACATGACTTCAGAGTGATCTACTACGTATATTGACAAAAATAAAATTGCCACTTCTAAGAAAATAGACCCGTTCATTACAGAAATTATTCAGAGGAGATAAACACCATGCTTGTCCCAACAAGAGTCCATTTTCTTGTACAAAGAACAAGGAGCTGACACGTATTTTAAGCTTTTTCGTTATGATGGTATTATGATGTAGTTAGCAGTTTTAACGGTAGTATTTCTCTGAAGCTGCTTAATTTTTGCGCAAAGAAAGGCATTACTGGAAAATATTTTTATTTGTCGCTTTCATTGTAGATATGTATAAGCTCTTGCCGAAATCCCTCAAGCAATATGAGTGCCACGGATTCGGAAAATTCTGCTCACGGGGATTATGGAACGAGCTGAACTACTGACGGTCACTTCACGCGTAATCCCACAGAGCGTTGTCCTGCGCAGACGTCGTCAAGATGGTATTCAGCCCATCGTTCTCCTCTCGCGTGGCTTGCATTTACAGCGTGTGACGCCCACCATATTGCTCTCATTGTGAAAAACAAAAATTTCCTTATAATATCTGAATTCTGTAATATCATATTACTGACATCGAAACCGTGAATAAATTTTAACGCTGAAAATGTTATTATACGAAGGCGTAAATAAAATGAAGGCGTAAGTAACAGAACATGTAACAATTTGTCCGTAAGTAAAGGAAAATGTAACAATTTGTTATTATTGACACCTTCGCTACTAAGTAACCGATGGTCTATTAGACTTGAAAGGATTCTGACGATGGTGTATACTGTACTTCTTTTGGCTTATTTTGGACTTCACCCATCGTCTGGTATGTAAAAGACAAAAAGAGAAAGGTCCAGTGACTGAGACTAGCTCTTTCTAAGGGGCCCAACTGAGTAGGTTTATCCTTCCCTATCCACCTGAAGACGGAGACAGATCCAGTCTCCGAAACGTAGTGGGCTTTTGTCTTTTACATACCAGACGATGGGTGAAGTCCAAAATAAGCCAAAAGAAGTACGATTGTCTATTGTTGACTTCATTACCTTCTAAATTTTCAGGTAAGTGTAAATATTTTTGATTATTGATACCTTCGCTAATAGGTAACCGACATTCTATTGCTGACTTCGTTACCTTGCAAATGTGCCCAATGAAGCACGCAGATGGATCTCGACATATTGTGAGTGAAATGCGTTAATACTCGTAAATACGAGCTTCTCAACAATGCATTCCATTTTAGCCCATTCCTTACGGCTTAGGAACTATGACCATTTGTTTGTAGCAAATGCGGCTAATTCAGTTCCTCTGTTTAGTGGATGACGCAATGCTATAGCAAGCTTCCAGTTTATGACGCAACGCACTGATTACTGCATATACGAGAGTGTACAGGAAGAGGAAGCAGATAGAAGAAGATAATTGCAATAATGTACCCGAACGAACAAAGTTAAATGCCGAAAGACGACGTGAACATAGAGAAACACATAGAAACTTATCTGCTGAATTGTAACACCCTGTAGATTACTGTATTTATTCATTCATTCATTGATTATTAGAGGAGGTGGGTTTCCCCATGCACTTAGACCAGTTATTGGTCCATCGTGCGCCCCCTTTAATTTCGACTGTCGCCATAACCTTCCAGTACTGATGCTCGTTATCAGCCCCATTCTGCCAGCGAGGTCGGCCCTCTTCTGGCAGTGGTACCCGATACTTCCCCATCTACCGGAAGCATTGGAAACTACTTGGGCGGGAAACTTTTGCCTAATTTTGCTCAGAGGTCTCCTAGAGACATGAGGATGTTTTACATGCTGTAAATCTACGACACGGAACCCACGGCTTAAAGTCCCTCCCTGAATTTTTCCGCCCTTAAAAATTTCACGACTTCCACCGGGTTTGAACCCGCGTACCTTGAGTCATGAGGTTGGAACGTTACCCCTAGACTACGGAGGCCGCTATAGATTACTGTAACTATAGCACACAATATCTGCTTGCTAGTCGTTGCTGGGTAACGAATTTTACCTGGCTAACATTTCACAACTGAATATTCAACTTTTCAAATACCTTCTGAATTCTATTGCAAAAGAATAGAGTTCAAGACGAGGACAGAATAGAAACTATCGCTCTCCTGTATCCGGTGTGGAGGAAACGTCTGGTGATCTCAAGTTTCCTCGTATCCACAGAAACATTTGCTGAAAATTTGTTTACATGAAACTGAATTTTAGCAAGCCATTGCCAATCAAACAGACTTCTGCTTGTTTATTGCTATTCCGCCTTTCAGACGGTGTTTAGCGAAACGTTGCCTAGCAAACAATGGTTGGAGCATTTTATACAGACCCCCTGTACAAAAGCTACAGCATTTGCAACATTTTTAAATGTGGATAATATGCCCGAAGATACTTATGAATTAGATGAAATCAATAAAAGTTTTCAAAGTTAATTCTGGGAAGCAAGGCTTCCTAATCATTTCTTTATACCTGTATAAATCTGACACATTTGATCCCTATATTTTTTGTTCTTTCTTCTTTCCGTTATGTCTTAACGAGTTTATCCTCTCCAGTACCCAACGTAGGAATATTCTTCTAGATTCGAAGATCTAAACCCTGATTTTCCTGCATTTATGACATGTTTCTCACGTACGTATATGTAGGACTCCATCATCTGCTTCCTTTTTGCGGTGATCACATGAACATATTTCTCACTAATCCTTCCTTCTTTATTCGTTCAATATATGCTTAGCGTTTTCAGAGGTCCATATCACTGCTGTACTAATATCCATTAAGAGCTAGTGAATGTTTTAAATAAATATTGTCCAAATATCTAAGCCTAAACATACTGGACCAAGCATTATGATACATAAGAAATACGTAACCTAATATTAACTTCATAAAACACCCCAAAAGACATACAGAGAAATATTGTACAATATTTACGGTACACCTCTCGAGTAGTATCTTTTACCCTAAATCACTTCAACGATTCTGGAAAAGTCATTGATCTCTATACAAACATATCGTACCTTGCAGACCCGTTTCTAGGCAACGGCTCGGTAAAAACATTCCCACAGCAAAGACTCAACACGAAACAAGAGAGGAAATATTGGAACGTCTAGTGAAGACAATGCAGACAGGAAAACACTTAGCATGTAGTAATTTGTCAAATGAGAAATTCAGCGATAAAGCCGTAGTTGTTTGTTGTTACGGCCTATTAAGTGATCAATAAATCCGATTACCAATCCAAATCACTTCTATAGTCACACATACTACGGGACAATATAGTGACACTATAACTGCAGAGAGAGACGTTGCTAGGATACGAAAGAGTAAAATAACATCAGAGTAACAACGATTGCACATACAACAGAGGAACGGCGTTTTCTGTGCGTTCCACGTGGATAGTCGCATCATCCATCAATATGAGT